CCCGGAGACCCAGGGCAACTGAGCAAGGAGTTTGCTGATGGCAAAATTAAAATGGGTTCAGAACAATCTTTTGCTAGACGAAGGAGTTTGGGGTCTGTGGCACCACTATATTTGATAAGTGAATCTGGGTAACTATAATTCCGCAACCAGTTATGCAGGACCCAGGGCACATCTGTCCTGGTGGGTCTGGGACATTCTATCTTAACCTTGGTGTATGGGGCTATCTCTGAGGACCCCCAGAAACCCATGATCCATAGTCATGTCAGCTTTGACCACAGCTTGAAATTTCAAATATGTGAACCGTAGCTTCACCCACAGAAGGATGGATGAGTTTATTACAATATACTTATTTATATTCATAACAAATAATGTATTACAAATGTATACAACAACAAAGAAAACAAAAAATAATATAAGCATTATTACAAAGAAAATATCCCCATCTTCTTGAGTTAAAGACCTCAGGGAAATTATTTCAAATCAAAAGACTAGAGCAGTAATTACCAGAGGCTGGAGTACAGATGGAGTGCTGGGAAGATGCTGGTCAACAGACACCAAATTTCACTCAGATAAGATGAAGATATCATAAAGATCTATTTGACTAGAATTAGGAACAGTGAAGTGTGTTCTAGAAAATTTCTAACAGTACATTTCAAATATTCTCACCACAGGCAAGGATAAGGATGGAGGTCCTGCATATGTTAATTGCTATATTTAGTCATTGCACTATGTACATACATTTTTTAATGGCAAGCTGCCTGTGATACATATATACCATCTTATTAGTCAGCATTCAGGTTCTAGAAACGCAATTTCCTAGGGAACCAAGTGACCCTGGGGCAGTAGTGGATGCATGCTTCAGCCTCTCCACACGGGAGCAGTGGCGAATGAAAACAAAATAAAGAACCTCAGGGAAATTATTTCAATGATTGCTTACACTAGGCAGAAGAAATGAAGCCTTATTGTTATCACGACTGTATTCATCAAGTACCTGCCACAAAAGCCACAAAGACGTTTAAGTCAAACAGGAAGAATGCTTTCCTCTTGTGTTGCAGAAAACTTCCAATGTGACAGGGATAGAAGAGGCTTCAGAAGAAAGAATGTTCCTGTGGATGAAGCTTCAGACTTCGCAGCTGCCAGACGCCCCAACACATGCAGGGTAAGAGGCCTGTTGCCCGCCCATGCCCGAACTTCTGTATGTGGGCAGCAACCTCCCGGGCCCAAAGAAGACTGCGTGTCCCAGCCCTGAAGCCCGAGGCTAAGATACCCAGTGCTTGACTTGGAGCCAGTGAGCTGGCTCTGAGGTCTCAGAGGAAAACAACTATAGTCATTTCTCTCTCTATCGCCCATCTCTCTCTCTCTCTCTCTCTCTCTCTCTCTCACACACACACACACACACATACACACACACACACACACACACACAGTGAGGCTGCTTGGTGTCTGAGGACTCACCTGCCCCCAGGTGACAATGGGCCACGATTGCTTCCACCACCCACGTTTACAGTTACTTTGTCCACGGGCAAATCTGTGACAGCTGTGGTCCAAATCTACTTCTTTTCCTTGGGGAGGGAGGAGCAAAGAGAGGCCTCTGTTAAGGGTTTGTAGGAGCTGAGAAAAAGATGAGGTTTGTAAGCAGGAAGAGGTGGCTGAGCCACACTGTGGCTGAGCTGCTGGCACAGAGATTCATGGCCAAGTCTCCCTGCTCTGTGTGTTGGATCTTCAGAGTGGAGCCCATTCCTCAGGCCTCTCTGCAGAGAACCAATCACTGGGCAGCCCCAATTTATCTGCTGCATCCTTGCCTTGGGAGTAAATTAGAAACCCTGCACCCTGCCCTAGGCTCTGTCAGTACCAATAAAGGATTACATGACCCCAAATTGGATTTACCTGAGAGCTACGTCTTTTCTCCCTTTGTTGCCTTGCGTCTCAGGGACTGGGGGACTCCAGCACCTGTGTGATCTGTGGAGACAGGAGTTGGGAACTGAATGAGAAAAACAACTACAGTCATTCTCTCTCTCTCTCTCTCTCTCTCTCTCTCTTTCTCTTTCTCTTTCTCTTTTTCTCTCTCTCTCACGCACACACACGCACGCACGCACACACACACACTGAGGCTGCTTGGTGTCTGAGGACTCTCCTGCCTCCAGGAGGCACAAGGCCACCCAGTAGAGGAACCTGGTGCCCAAGGCAGGGTCAGGGCGGGACAGGAGCTTTACCAGATCAGGGTCCATGTGAGCAGGAGCAGAGAAGCGGGCCGTCCTCGTCCCCATACTGAAGGTCCTACAGTGACTTCATGACCTCTCTTAATCCACACAACCACAGGAACAAAAGATTTATATTAGGACATACTTTGATGACTGATTTAAATATTTATGAGTTCCTTGGTTTTTTTTTTGAGACGGAGTTTCACTCATGTTACCCAGGCTGAAGTGCAATGGCACGATCTCGGCTCACCGCAACCTCCGCCTCCTGGGTTCAGGCAATTCTCCTGCTTCAGCCTCCTGAGTAGCTGGGATTACAGGCACGGGCCACCATGCCCAGCTAATTTTTTTTGTATTTTTTTTGGTAGAGACGGGGTTTCACCATGTTGACCAGGATGGTCTCGATCCCTTGACCTCGTGATCCGCCCGCCTCGGCCTCCCAAAGTGCTGGGATTACAGGCTTGAGCCACCGTGCCCGGCCTGTTTGTTTTTTTTTTAAGACAGAGTCTTGCTCTGTTGCCCAGGCTGGAGTGCAGTGGTGTGATCTCAGCTCACTGCAAATTCTGCCTCCTGGGTTCAAGTGATCCTTCTCCCTCAGCTTCCTGAGTATCTGGGATTACAGGTGTGCACCATCGCAGCAGGCAATTTTCATATTTTTAGTAGAGATGAGGTTTCACTGTGTTGCCCAGGCTGGTCTTGAACTCCTGACCTCAAGTGATTCGCCCAGCTTGGTCTCCGAAAGTACTGGGATCGCAGGCGCGAGCCACCATGCCCAGCCTATAAATTCCTTTTTAACAACATCAGTCCATGTATCATCGCTTTGGGCCCCCGAGCTGTCTGGACCCAGAGGCCTCATGCTGCATCTCTGAGTTCATCTCCTCATCCCACAGCCGCTCCTCTGTCTGCTGGGCATGCTCTCTTGGATGTGTCAACAGCTGTGCCAACACAAGGCACCAAAAGCTGAGCTCATTGTCTTTCCTGCAAGTCAGGGTCCCCTGTGCCATCCCCATTCATGCCCAGCCTCTTCTATTCCTCCGTCACTCATGCCCAACGGGACTGTCCCATCACATGGGTCCCCTCTCAAGCTGCACCTCATGCCTCTGTCCAGGGACCATTTTCCACCTTTGTTAACTATAATTCAGAAAAGATACCTTGGTGGCAAACTCACTGTTTTTTCTTTCTCTCCCTATGAATATGTTTCCCTCAATCTCAATATTTAATGAATGAGAATTATAATTCTGCCTTGATGGTTATTTTTAATCTCCTTCCTTGACTTTCACTGTTCCTTTCAGTCTATTCTGCTGGGAGACATTGATCTTTTGGGCTACTTTTAAGTCTTCTCTTTGCCATTTGTGTTACATAATTTCACCATAACATATGTATTCATCTTCATATTCATTTGACTTGTTGAAACAGAGGATTTAGGTCCTGAATCATGTCTTGAAGATTCTCAGCTAATGTCCCATAATTACCACCTATCATTCGCTCTACTTTCTCTTTCTGACACTTCAATCATGTGTAAGAAAAATGGGAAGTTCCAACAAAATATTATATATTTGTATATCCTAATATACTAGAGCCTACAATCTTTTTTATTCCTTATCTGTTAACTTTTCTTGTTTCCTATTTAATTTTCTGTGTTGCCTTCGAGGTAACTCCTCCAGATCTGTCTTTGACCTCAGTAAGAATGTCTTTTGAAAAAGCATGTCGTCTTTTCTTCATTTCCATTGTGTTTTCAATGATAATCTTCATCATGTCTGCGTTCTCTTGATTATTTTGTTTCCTTGATGGTTTCTGACAGCCCCTTTTTTCTTGTTCACATATCAATTCGCTCTTTATGCCTTTAAATATAGCACTTTAACTTTTATATCGTTTAATGGCAAAATTCCTTGTCTTCATATGCTTCAGTTACTTATTGCTTCTACTCAGTCTTCTTCATTGATTCTTGTTTTCACTGTCTTAATAGTGGGAGTATACATACCTGACATTAATCTGTGGAATTTCAGAGAGGCCAGCATTGAGAGTGCAGAGCGCCGTGTCCATAGCCTTCCACTGCCTCCAGTCTCATCCCAGATGCATAGTGCCAAGAATTGACTGCTGCACTCTGGGTTGCCAAACACACTCCTGGCTTTGGTTCCTGGGGTCAGAACATGCTCTCAGGACAGCCACAATGTTCCCGGCGGAACACAATTCTCATTTTTCTTATATTGCATGATCCCTTCTCCATAAATTAGCACCCGTAAGGCTGTGTAGACATGACTTTCCCTAACTGCTTCTCCAAGAAAAAAATTATATAAATACATTTTCAGTAAAGAAAGCTCCCAAGTCTATAGATAATCCCTCTTCTTTACCTTTTGGTTCCTAACCCAAAATGTTAAAAAAAAAAAGACTTAGATATTAGAACTACGTAATGTAGACTTTATCCTCATTGAGTCTGAAGAACATGTGATATTTTAAATTGGAAATTCCTAAACAAACTGACAAACTGGTTTGCAAAATGAATGGTCCAATGCTTGTTCAACAAGTGTGCCCCTTGATAAGCTCATAGCAGAGCATCTCAGGTACGGTTAACTCTAGATCTCTGCCAGGGTACAGCTGATCTAGAGTGTTCCTGCTGTTGGTTCATCCACCCACTCATCACTCCATCAGCCTGTCATTCGTTCTCTCATCCATTATCTGTGAAATGAGTCTCCCTTCATGCCAGGCACAGCTGTTGGTAAATGTAACAAGCACAGCCTTCGCCTTTATGGAGTTTAAAATTGAATTGAGCAGAAAAATATTCCGACAAGTAAACTGGAAAACTCCAACTGTGCTAAACTCTATTGACTAACAAGCACATGCTACCATCAGTGCTTATAACAGAAAAATTGATCTCAGCTGGGAGGTGAGGAAATGCTTCCCACAGGAGAGGCTGATCATGCTGAGATCTGAAGCACAGGTGGGAGTTGGCCACTAGAGAAAAGAAGGCTCCAGCCCAGGGCAGAGGAAATGGACTTTGAAGTCTCTGTGATGGGGAGGAAGGAGGCACAGAAGAGGGGCTCCCCTCATGGCTGCAGTAGAGAGGGGTAGGGAAGTGGAAGGTGGAGAAACCCAACAAGGCTTTGACTGGTGACTGCTTACATGGGAAAGGTGGGCCACTGGAGAGACCACGTGAGGGTGGGGGCTGGGGGAACCCTAGAGAGAGGAAGCAGCATGGTCCCCAGGGAGAGATGGGAGTCTAGATGGGTCTGAAATACAAATCCTGTTTCATCCTGGGGGCCTCAGACCCAGGATGATAGGGTTCCAAGTTTCCTGGCATAGAGAATTCTGCTCAAGGCATCACTGAGTCTTGGGTGGGGAGGAGGGCAGAGCCTCCCTGCCTTTATGTGCAGAGAGGAGACGGCCTTGCAGCACTGTGGAGTAACTGCTGGCACAGAAGTATACAGATGTGTGGGAGCGAGCAGCTGACTCCAGCCTGAGCGGGAAATCCTCTGTGTTTGATCTGGAGACACTGTAGCCATCGTGGACTTCTCCTTTGGCAGTGGTATCTTCACCAGCTGAGTAATGAATCAGCCTCAGCCCCATGCCTGGGTCTTGTCGATACCAGTACATGTAGTCATGGTTCATATCCTGGGCACACTGCAGCGTCATGCTCTGTCCTGTCTTCAAGACCTGGAATTTTGGGGTCTGAGTGACACCAGCAGTCACTGGACCTGCAGAGAAGGAGAACAAAGCCCATGCTGCAGCCCCAATGGTGAGGCGCTGGGCCTTGAAATCCATGCAAGGGGCCCTGCCCAGGACCCACCTGCCCACAGGAGACAAAAGGCCGCACAGCACAGGAGGGCAATGTTCATGGCAGCTGCTGCAGGATGAAGTCTTCTGGGTCTGTGTGTTGATGAACGGGGAACAGGGCTCTCAAGGGAGTCATTCTGAGACCTCATTCCCCCTGCCTGGGCCCCAGTACCTTCCTGTCAGGAGAGGCCCCGCCTTTTCTCCAGATGGTCAAATTCAAGATAAAGTGAACAGTTTGGATGGGAAGAATGCCTTTGTCTGAACTGACACAGCCTTACAAGTTTTTCTTAACCTTTTTGTTAACAGTTTGTAACTCAATGTAAATTTTATCCCTGTGATAATATAATTCCTCATTCATACACTGGTGTTAGTTATCTAAACATTTCTGTAATTTAGACTCTTAGGGAAAATCCTCATGTCTTCCTAGTGTTTTTGACTCCTGTGTCCCAGATACCCCTTCAAGTATCCTTTTCTAATTTGCTTAATTGACCATAATCCTGTTGAAGTCCTGTGCCTATCTTGGTTTTCTCTGTTATCAGGTCTCCAAATCCCAGGGGCAGGCTCATCAACATTGGAGGAGTCGTTTTGGTCTGTTTCTTGTCAATTCACCGACAGATGGGACTCCTGACAAGCCCAGCTGAGCACCTTCAGCTCCACCCAGGGCTCTTACTTTCTGTGCCTGGGGTGAGACCATATCAGGCAGGACCACTTCATGCTGGTGATTGCCCTCTGTGGATGATGGTGGCCGCCCAGCGCTGCCCATGACTTATGGGCACAAAGGGGTCCTGATGTGGGAGAGGAGAGAGGAAGCAGGTTCCGGGATAAGAAAAAGTGCTCTCATTTTATTTGAAATGTCATATTTCATAGGGAATATTCCCTTGGTCAGGATTCTCACCACTAATTCGTAATAATTTTTTTTAAAAGGTCAGAACCTGTATCTTAGTGCATGCACAGAGCCCTACACTTAAAAGGACCCGCGTTGCTGTCACATTGTCATGATCTTCAAGTTCCTTGCGATATTTGAACAAAGGATCTGCCAGTCGGTCACGCTGCTGATCCTGAGTACGTGGTTGGTTTCCTATTCTGCTTACCTCTGCTTATGCTGGTTTCCTTTTCGCACAAGCACATGACTAGAGCCCGAGTCACTCACCATCTACGGGGTTTAGGAGAGAAGGACGCAGAAATTAAAGTCAGAGCAAAGGGCCACCTGGCGCTGAAAGTCACAGCCAGGATCCAACAAGTTCATGAGTGGGTGCCACGTCTATGTCCCTGCTGGACCAGGAGACAAACACACAGGATAGGAGCCTGGTTCCCAGGACAGAAAAGGGGATTTTGTCGCTGGAGGCTTAGATTTGATGAACTGGACACGTAGGGTCAACACAAAGAGGACCTTTCTTCCAATGTGACATCATCTCTCAACAAGGTCACTATTACTGTTTTCTGTTTGGCCCCAGGACACTCAGCGTGTGATCACAAAGCTCAGCTGCATATGTGTCTGATAAAACTCAAGACATTTCCCTTAAAGATGAGTAATTTTTGTTAAAATATCGTCATAAAATAATTGGAGTGAATGGGCAGATAAGAAATGAATGCAAATGAATACATAAACTTCGTAGAGTCCGCCTGTACCGGCTTGGAAGACCTTTTGAGTTTGTTTCTTCACAACATCCAGCTCCAGACAGAACTGTCTCTAACGTGGATCTGGTAGCTCTTGGCTCCAACCCCTTTTAAAACCATACAGTGTTTCAGGAGCTCCTCATCCTGTTAACTAATTAGTTATGCATTAAAGAGGATTAGGCAGTAGAGTTTTTGCAGTTCCACTAGAAATGTTCCTTAAAAAAAACTACTCTACGGTGATGAAAATCACATCAGTGTTTGTTGGAGATGGAGAGAAACATGGCAACAGAGCATGATGGAATTTTCTGGGTGATGAAGATGCTCTACATCTCAGTAGAGATGAGGTTGCTTGTGTATGTACATCACTCAAAAATCACTGATCTGCTTATTTAAAATGTGTAATGTTTATATAATTTATATATCCATAATACTGGATTTTAAATGCCTGAGGAGAGATATATGCTACATTCTCTAGTTAATACTGTCAAAGTAATCATCATGCATATATGTTTCCATACTGTGACTTCCTGAGTCCTCAACCTAACATTTCCAGGCAAAATGTGTCTTATCTACCTTTGGGCATTGATGCAGTGAACAGGCTGTCTGAGATTAGCAAAGGAAATCAAAATAGCTAGATTTCCACTATATGCTAAATATTTTATGGTGTTAAATTTTGGACACAACTCTGCAGATGGAGAGTGTTAGTCTCATTTTATAGATAAGAAAATAAAAAAAAAAAAAAAACAAACACTAAACTAAACTTAACCAGCCCTCCCCAGGGTTCCCTGCAGCATTGTGGAGCCACAGCGCCTCCAAGTGGCCAATATTCCTCAGTCCCATGGATTCACATCTGACCTGAGGAGCTCAAGATTGTCCAAGTCAAGAACTGAGATGCCCCAACTCCAATCCTTGCAACCCCCACCCTCTCACACATAACTTCTGTGCTGCTTTTCCAAAAGGGTTGATTTAGGGTGGAACTTCAATTTCACCCTTGGCAAGTGGAGACAAAAGACACATCTTGATTGCACGAGAAATTACTGTTACATCATTGCAATAAACATCCTAAGATGGAAGAGAGGAGCCAGGATTATAGAGGCCACAGAATGAAACAGTGTAAGGATATGAAGCCAATCTGGGCTGAAAACACTACATTGCAGAGCTCACTTTGATTAATCAGACCCACATATTTTCACATATTGTATTTAGCTTATTCACAAATTTTAGTTAGCACATTCTATAAAGGGGCTTTTTCAATTTTACAAAGTCATTTCTGAATTTATAAAATCTTGAAATAAACTATTCTATCAGGTATAACTAAGCAGATTCAGTTAGGTCTGCTCTTTCCCACCCTTACCTAGAAGTGCCTAGAAGCTCTGTCAGTGAACCAGCACCTCATAAAGTATTACCTGTGGAGAAACTATTTCTATGTGAGTAGTATCCACAAGAAAACACACACATACATTCACGTTCACAAACACACGCGCTCACAAACACATAATATCTTTCCATTGTCAACGATGATAAGATTCCATTACTGAGCAAAGCTAGCTTTTTTTTTTTTTTGCCAATGTTTTAGGTTGATTTCATCAAGGGTGATTAAGAAACACCCTTGATTATATTCCACCTTCACCAAATCTCTATAAAACACACATTCACACTCACAAACACACACACACAAACACATAATGCCTTTTCATTGTCAAGAATGTTAAGATTCTATTACTGAGCAAAGCTAGTTTTTTTTTTTTTCCCAATGTTTTAGGTTGATTTTGGCTGATTTTATGGAGGGTAATTAAGAAGCACTTTTCATGATATTCCACCCTCACCAAATCTCCATAAAACACACATTCACACTCACAAACACACACACACTTGCAAACATATAATACCTTTTCATTGTCAAGGATGGTAACATTTCATTACTGAGCAAAGCTAGTTTTTTGTTTTCAATGTTTTAGGTTGATTTCATCAAGGGTGATTAAGAAGCACCTTTGATGATATTCTGTCTTCACCAAATCACTAAAAGTGTGGTTATGGAAGGTGTGGTTATGGTGAGGAAGTTTTTTTTTTTTTTTTTTTACAGGATTATGAGTTTTTACAAATATTACTGTACCATAATTTCCTTTCTTCAGTGATTCTTCAGTCAGCACAAATAACATAATTTTCTTCACTCCAAAAGAACATTTGCAAATTCCAGCATTAGATATCCTTTGGGAACTTGACAGGACTGGTCATCAACCCTGACTGTGAAGACACAGTTGCTAGAATATTACAGAAGTTATATGAAATACTGAGACTTGTCATAATCATTTTCCATGATATTTCAAGTGGAGTCCCCTGTAAAGAGCAGACAATAATTAATTACACTCCAGGATTCTCTATAAGTGGGCAATAACTTATTAATTTTACAAACATCAAAGGGTATCAATTATATGCCTGGCTTTTCCTACAAAAATAAAGAAAAGGGAGTGATATAGTAGAATCCCAGGGATGTCACAGTACGAGGTGAAAAGGAAGGCAGGTGTGAGCCAGTCCTTGACACATGATCAGTTTCTGGTGCTGTATTAGGAAAACAAAGGTTCTCCCAGGCATGGAAATAGGAAAAATGCTGAGGATGTAAAAGCGCTGAGTTTTAGAAAATGTTCAAAGAGCATTTGATCATAGAAGGTAATTGGATTTGGGAGGTGAGTGTCAGGAAGGGATCCAGAGAAGCAGAATTTATTTGGGGGGAAACTGGAGAGTATGTGCTCCTTTAGGAACAAGGGTGATTTTACCTTCCTCTATGTTTTGGAAAGTACCTGACTGTGCCCTGAGGAGTCAAGATTAGGGCCAGAAGAAGGAAGACATCAGAAGCAAAGCCAGGGCTCTCACACCAGGCAGGTGGCTCTTTGATGATGTCCCCTACTGGGACTGGCTACCAGGTGATTCCAGTTGCTAGAAAACTCTTTACCTTGTATTTTATAGGTATTGAAAACTTTGGGAGGAGGGGACAGAGAGTTCATGGCACAAAGAACACCACTTTTCATCATCGTCTGCTCTCTCTCTATTTTCAGTCATCTTTCGTTTTCTCTCTCCTTGACTTTCCCCAAATCTCAATTTCAGTTGTATAAAGCAAACCCTGTGATTCTCCCTTCTCCACTATGCTGTTATCAACAATCTCGACCGCAAAATGAGGTCCCTTGTCCTGAAAAAGAGTGTGTCAGCTGTTAAATTACAAACATGTCCTCTACCCTGTAGTTTACTGTGTCAGCAGAGAAGGTAATTCTGCAGTCAACCTACAGAAGCAGCGTCATCCTCTGAGCAGCCCCTCTTGGCCTTGTTTCCCCCAGCCCTGAATAGCAGAAAGCCCCAGGCTGTGGGTCCTAGCATCCTAAATTACCTTTCTTTCCCCCTGCAGTCCCCAGATTCTCACAGACACGTCAGGGCTGAGGTTCCTCCACATTGGGCCAGGGAGGTTTGTGCACAGAATGTGGTTGGCTTTGTAGGGCTGTGCCAAGCTGCTGGCACAAAGATAAAGGGCTGAGTCCCCCAGCTCCAAGGCGCTCACATTCATCTCAGAGCTATAGTTAGAGAACTGGAGCCCTGAGAATCGAACAGGGAAGTTTCCCTGTTGTCTCTGTATCGCATTGTAGTATTCAAAGATGAACTGAGGGCCCTGTCCTGGGGCCTGTTGGTACCAGTACACACTGTTATGCCCAGAGATAGGGGAGCACCTCAGTGTCACTTGCTGTCCTCTCATTTTGATTAGGTGTCTTGGAGTTTGGGTGACTCCAGCCTCTCCCAGGCCTGTGGGAAAAGCAGATGGAAAATGAGCACAGGAGACAGCCTGGTGGTACCTCCTCCCCAAGGTAAAGTGGAGGACACAGGGGTGGGGGCAAGCTCAGAATGGGGGCGCTGTCCTGTCTGCAGGGACTCACCTGCTCCTGGGAGACAAAGCAGCACCGAACAGAGCAGCCTGAAGCCCATGGCACGAAGCGTCAGGCAACACTGTGTCTGTGCTCAGGGCTCAGTCCTCCTGGGGAGGAGCTGAGTTCTCAGCCTCGCTTTTCCTGATGGGAGGGGCATCCTGTGATGTAATTGTCCTGTGTCCTTCCCTTGCAGGCTTCCTGAGATGCAGTGCTCCCTGTTCTGTACAGCAGAATCCACTGTGCCTTTGAGGGAGGGAGAGAGAGGCTGGGGAAAGAACACAGGAGGGACCCTGAGGGTGCCTTGGATGAGGCGTGCTCCAGAGACATCCCACCTGTGCCTAGATGCTGAGAAATGCTGAGTGTATGATAAAATATATTGTTTGCTAAGAAGAATGATGGCAAGAAAAATATATATATATATATTATACACCAGTTAAAACAATTCTTTAAGCAAGGGATATGTGACCCTGCTCCCATGGCTCCCTCATGGAGAATATTTTTTAGTTTGTCCTTCATTAGTGGTAAGGAGGCACCAGTTGCCTACCTAGGTTCTATGAGAAAACACAGAACACCTGTTTGTTAATAATAATCACCTGTTCAGAGAGAATAACTATGTGGGTCAGAGTCTGCTCAAGGCCCTCAGTCTGGAATGCTGTCAGCCCCCAGAGGCCCTCAGCTCAGAAGGAGGTTGGCCCCAGGATAGTCCCACTTTGCTGTTCTACCTGGGTGTCTTCATTTTAATGCCTTCAGTGCCGCCTGGGTGGGGTCTCTACGGCAGACCTGGTCTTGGTACCAAGGACTTGCTAGCTCCCAGGAGACAAAGTCCTTTCCATCAGAGGCACCGGGAGCCCATGCTGGGTGGGAAAGAGCTGGGCAGGTGTCACCCTGCTAGGGGTTCCCTGAGAGCTGGGGTTTTGGGCATCACATCTCTGATAGGATGTTAGGCTGCGATGTCACTGCTCTGATGTCATAGTCCCTGCAGGTTCCCATGCACCCTCCCTCCTTTGTTAGGTCCCTAGCTTACCTGCTCCAGGACCCCTGCTTTTCGCTGTGAATACCCTCACATACCACATAGGGCTGAACTGGGCTGCTCTAACCTGAGCTGAGGGGAGGTTGCAAGTCCCTCCCACAGGTCCTTTGCTTTTCATTTCACAGGCAGTTGTTTATCTCTCTGTCCCTGCCCAGGGCATGCAGGTTGTCCCATCCCAGCAGGGACATCCCAACTTTATTCTCCTTTGCAAGCTCACAGAGACTTCCCAACCCCTGCATAGCTGAAGTGCATGGCTCCCTGATGGGAAGCACAGCTGCAATTTTATGTATATGTCATTGCACCTTCTAGTGAATATCAAGCAAGGCTGCACCTTAACCCTCTGTGTCCCAGGCTGCTGGCTCTGTGCACACCCCAGAGACATGGGGAGCTCAGTGATTCCAGCACCCCTGTGTGGCCCACTGCACAGTAACCAAGATTTTGCTATTGTTAATGGATTGGATACTTATGTCCCCCCAAAATACAACCCCCAGGGAGACCATATTTGATGACAGGGACTTTATAGAGGAAATTATGTTTACATGAGCTTATACAAGTGGAACCCTGATCCAGTGTGATTAGTGCCCTCTGAGATGAGACATCTGACGGCTGGCTTGTTCCCTCTCCACCATGTGAGAATTCAACCAGAAGAAGGTGCTCTGCAAGCCAGAAGGAGGACCCTCACCAGAGCCCCACATGCTGGCACCGCCATTTTATGCTCTGGAGTTATGAAAAAGAAAAAAAAGATTTGTGTTTAACCCATGCAGTCTATTCTATGTGCTCTGGCTCTCTGAGCTGATGGATACAGCCTTTCCGACATGGTAGAAGGGACATGGGACATGTTTAAATTAGGAACTATTTCACCATCTTGCCTATTCTACTGTTTTTCGAGAGGAACTAAAAGAAGCCCTCACATTTTGAAATTTATCTTCTTCAAGATCACTTTTTGCATTGTAAGAGGAAAAAGGTGATAGAAAAGAAATTTTGCCCTTGAGAAAATTCTGAAGACAGAAATGATGCAAATCTGGCCTAGCTCAGGCAGTTGTGCTGCAGGAAGAACTGTGCCAGAAATCACACCAGATCGTCCTGTCTCCCTCACTGCAGGCACGCTCTCAGGGATTTGTGGATGATTTATCATTAAAGTTCTTTTTTCTGTGATGACTCCAGCCAGCGTGCTCGAAGCAGACCTCTCAGACCACTCTGTGCTACGTGCCCACTAATCAGCTTACCCAGAAGTAAAGAAAACAATACCCACTGTTCCCATACTGCTGGGGAATTTGTTTCTTTCCCATCTATCCTCCCTCTTTTAGAAATTCTCTTTTTACCTGAGTTCACTGACAATATCCTGTTGCCCATTTTTCCATATATGAGTAAAGATATGTGCAGATAACAATTAAATTTATAAGTTTTTATTTGTGGTTCCAGACTGGGTTTAAAAAGAAACATGAGACTTGGGAAAACAGAATCTGAGAAAGATTCCATTGCAGAACCACTATCCTTCAATTGTTACTTCTGATTTAGTTTATTTCCAATCCAAATTTCTTTAAATAACTACATTTGACATATCTTTTATCATACTTTAAGAATAGTTACATATATAGAGCAAATCTAGATGTTGTCATATGAAGTGTTTTCTTAATTTTTAAGTCCAAAGGCAAATGACCGCATGAGAAATCAATGAAAAGAGATTCCAGTCCAGCTGCATGTGACATCGGCGGTCACTAGCCAATGTGCCAGTTAGCTATGATCAATGATCAGTACCTTTCCAAGATGCCCTCCAGAGGACAAAAATACCCCACTGAGGGGGTATTCATGGATATAAACCAGTTAAAATTTATGGATATAAACAGGTGGCACCACTATGCTCCAGCCTGGGTGACAGAGCAAGACCCTGTTTCAAAGAAAACAGGGAAGTTTCCGCTATCTTGATTCTTACAGAGATAGAAAGTTTAGAGGAAAACGCAACGAACGCAACCCAGAAAATATAACTTGATTAGTAGCAGCTGACCAGTTACCTGGGTTATTAATAAGTGAGGTCAAATAAGTAAAAGAGAAACACAAAAATATCAGATGTTAAGAAAATAAACTGGGACCAGGCGCGGTGGCTCACGCCTGTAATCCCAGCACTTTGGGAGGCCAAGGCGGGTGGATCACGAGGTCAAGAGATCGAGACCATCCTGGTCAACATAGTGAAACCCCGTCTCTACTACTAAAAATACAAAAAATCAGCTGGGCATGGTGGCACATGCCTGTAATCCCAGCTACTCAGGAGGCTGAGGCAGGAGAATTGCCTGAACCCAGGAGGCGGAGGTTGCGGTGAGCCGAGATCATGCCATTGCACTCCAGCATGGGCAACAAGAGCGAAACTCCGTCTCAAAAAAAAAAAAAAAAAAAAAAGAGAAAAGAAAATAAACTGTATAATTAAAGTTAACATACATGGCAGAAATGGAAAAGACAGTAAGAAAGAGAGAAATCTGAAAAGCACGGTCACTACACGTCTCAGGAAAGGCCTCCCAGAAAGAAATAGGGAGCTAAGTGGAGAGCATGGCTACCTTGTGCCAAGCAAAGGGGCTAAATGATTACCTGGTACACAGTTATGCTAATGATCTGAGGAAGTGTGTGGAGTAATCACAAACGAGAGAATCTAAGTAGAAAGCGCAATACTAGGAAGATGCATCTTCCACTGGAATGCGTGCTGGACTTTCCCTCTTACTTCCATTTGTAGGATTTTGGCCCCAATGAATCCATTTTCACCTCTATGGCCTTGCTCATGTAGCCCCTCTATAACCGCAATTGGGCATTATCAGAAATCCCACTTCTGCTCTGGCTGAAATTAGGTCATGCTGACTTGGTAAAGACATTGCTCACTTTGCCTACCATCTAAGGCAGAAGGAAACCCTTCTTCACAGAAACTCCAAAGCCATTAGCATGTACTTCTTTCTAGAGGTGATTAAATTCCTCTCTGTGAGAACTCTTTTTTGTTCCTTCCAGCCTCAGAGTTCCGTGAGAGCACAGTCATATAAAGGGACATGTAGACAGCACTAGCCCTGTGCAATAAACACATGAAACAAGATTTACTGGGGAAAACTCACAAGCAAGAAGCAGGAACACTAACTCAATTATCCACCCCTTCCTTAGTCCATGCAGAGATGTGCTTGGACAGGCATGGCTCCATGCATTGTGGAAAGACTGCCAAAAGAAGGATCCATCACTATTCTGTCATACATATTATGGAGAGAGTAGGAGGTGCAGATTTAAGGTCTACTTATAGTAGAATACATAGCAGGAGTAACTTCTGGGCTGGCAAAGTGGCCTCGTGTGACTGGAGATTAGAGGTGTACCCAAGCCAGTGTTGCTAGGGCCAGCTAGATGCCTTTGCACTATCTCACTCTTACTGAGTTAATTACCTGCCAACTACTGATAAGGGTGAAGGTAGAGAGACAAAATTAAAGGAGAAAGAAGGATACTCTCATTTCATAGGGGTTATGTCTAGGTACCATCAAGAAAGTGGAAAGGAAAATTTTCAGGCTGAGGAAAAAGTTTCACAATATGTATATAGGACTAGGATATTGTATCCAGATTATATAAAGAATTCCTATAAACTATATAAAAGAAATATAGTTTAACTTTTAAAACTGGGCAAAAGCATTATAGGTATATGAAAAAGACATATCTGCAAATGTTAATAAAAACATTAAAACGTTCTCAAGATTATTAATCCTTAGAGAAATGCAAATTAGAACTCCAATGAAAGATTAATATTATGCCAATAAATTCAACAGAAGACAAAATAAACAAATTCCCCCCAAAACACAATTACTCAAAAAGAAGTAGATAACTTGAATGTACATGGGGATATTCAAAAATACATATAGATGTGGTTTTAAAAATTGAATTCATAATAATTAAAAACTTTTCCAGAAAGAAAACTCCAGGCCCAGCTTACTTTATTGATAAAATTGGCCAAGTTTATCAATTTACAAATTGTGAGGAATAATAATACTAATAGTAACATAGATGCAAAGATCCTTAAAAAAATAAATTAAGTTTAATTCACAATGTATGAAAAGATTAATATCTAATCCCTAGGTGAAATTTGCCCCAGAAATGCATAATTGGTTTTATATTTGAAAAGCAATTAATGTAAGTTACCATATTTAAAAATTATTTAATTGCATGAAAAATTCTCAACAAAATATTAGCAAACTGTAACCAGCAGCACATCAAAAAGTTTATCTATCACAATCAAGTAGGTTTCATTCCTGGGATGCAAAGCTGGTTCAACATACACAAATCAACAAATGTGATTCACCACATAGAACTAAAAACAAACCTAGATGATCACCTCAATAAACATAGACAAGGCTTTTGATAAAATTAAACATGTCTTCTTGTTAAAACCCCTTCAACAAACTAGGCATTGAAAGTACATACTTCAAAATATTAAGAGCTGTCTATCACTGTGATGTTAAGAGCCAACATCACACTGAAGTGGCAAAAGCTGGAAGCATTCCTGTTGAGAATGTGAACTTGACAAGGATGCTCATTCTCAACATTCCCATTCAAAACAATAGGAGCAGAAATAGCAAGAGCAATCACAGAAATAAAAGACATCCAGAAAAGGAAGAGAGGAAGTCAAACTGTTTATAACTATCTATACCTAAAAAACCCTATAGTCTCTACCCAAAGGCTCCTAGGTCTGAATAATAACTTTAGCAGGGTTCAAGAATACAAAATCAATGGACAGAAATCAGTACTATTTCTATACATCAGAACATCCAAGTTCAAAGCCAAATTAAGAACACAATTCCATTCATAATAGCAACAACAACAACAACAACAAAATACACCTCAAAAAACCAGCTAACCAGAGAGGTGAAAGATATTTACAATGAAAATTATAAAACACTAATGAAAACTATCAGAGGCAACACAAAAAATTGAAAAAAACATTTCATGCTCATTGATAGGAAGAATTAATATTGTTAAAATCAATGCTATTCCTATCAAGCTACCAATGTCAGTTGTCAGTTTTCACAGAATTAAGGAAAAAACTTCTAAAATTCATTTGGAACCAAAAAAAAAAAAAAAAAGAAGAAGCCTGAGTGCCCAAAGCAATCCTGAGCAAACAGAATAAACCTGGAGGCATCACATTACCCAACTTCAAACCATGCTACAAGGCTACAGTAACTGAAGCAGCATAATACTAGTACAAAAACAGACACATAGACCAATGGAACAAGTTAAAGAACTAGAAATAAATCCACCCACCTAAAACCAGCGATAACAAAGTCAACAATAACAGGCGATGCAGAAGGGACTCGCTGCTCCCCAAATGATGCTGGGAAAACTGGCTAGCACATGCAGGAGATTGAAAATAGACCCCTATTTTCACTATATACAAAAACCAACTCATGACTGATTAAAGACATGAATGTAAAACCTAAAACTAAGAAAGAAAAAAACCTAAGAAGAAAATCTAAGAAATACCATTCTGGACATAGGACTTGGCAAATATTTCACGATAAAGACTCCAAAAGCAATTGCAACAAAAACAAAATTTGACAAATGGAACCTAATTAAACTAAAGAGTTTCTGCACAGCTGAAGAAATTACAAACAGAGTAAACACACAACCTACAGAATTGGAGAAAATGTTTGCAATCTATGTATCCAACAAAGGTCTAATATCCAGAATCTATAAGAAGGTTGAACAAATTAACAAGCAAAAAACAAACATCTCTATTAAAAAATGGGCAAAGGACAAGAATAGACACTTTTCAAAAGCAGACATACATGCAGCCAGCAAGCATATAACAAAGCTTCATTATAACTAATCATTAGGAAAAATGCAAATGAAAACCACAGTGAGATACATCTCACACTAGTTAGAATAACTATTAATAAAAAGTCAAAATATAACAGATGCTGGCAAGATTGCAGAGGAAATGGAAAACTCACACACCGTTGGTGGGAATGTAAATTAGTTCAGCCACTGTAGAAAGCAGTATGAAGATTTTTCAAAGAACTAAAAAAAACCCTACCATTTGACCCAGCAATCCAATTACTGGTTATATACCCAAAGAAATACAGATCATTCTATCATAAGCATACATGCACACATATGTTCGATGCAGTAGTATTCACAATAGCAAAGACATAGAATCAACCTAAATACCCATCAATGTGGACTGGAGATACTATGCATCCATAAAAAGAACAAAATCATGTTCATTTCAGCAACATGGATAGAGTTGGGGGACATTATCCTAAGTGAATTAATCCAGGAACAGAAATCCAGACACCACACATGTTCTCACTTATAAGTGGGAGCTAAACATTGAGCACACATAGACACAAACAAAGGAACAGTAAACACTGAGGCTTGAAGTTTGGGGGTGAGAGGAGGGTGAGGACTGAAAAACTACCAATTGGGTATTAAGCTGGTGACTTGGGTGACAAAATTATCTGTATGCCAAAGCCCCATGACATGCAATTTACTATGTAACAAACCTGGACATGTGGCCCTTAAAACTAAAATAAAAATGGGAAAGATTAAATTTTTTATAATCATCTTAATAGATACAGAAAAAATATTTTAAAAAAATTCAACATTCTGATTAAAAACTCTTAGCAAACTAGGAACAAAAAAAAATGTTCTCTACCTGATAAAAGTCATTCATGGAACATCTACAGTTAATATCATACTTAATGATCAAAAACTGAAAAATGACTGGATGCTTTTTCCCTAAGATTAAGAAGAAGACCAGGACGCCCATTCTCATCCTTTCTATCCAACATGGCCATGGAGATCCTAGCAAAGCACACAGTGGGTAGGCGATGATGTTAAACAGCCTTTATTCACAGAGGACCCAAAGAAGAGTCGTGGAAGCCACGGGACATGAAGTGTCAGGAGAACACAGCTTTTCACAGGATGGCGTCTGGCCCAGTGCAAGGTGTAACTCTGTGGTGACACAGGTGATTGTTGAGTGGATTCTTATAAAAATCTTAAGCTAAACAATCATTCTTACAGCATGCTTGCTTTATTTCATTTATTGTATTTTAATTTTAATTTAATTTAATTTATTTATTTTTAGACTGAATCTTGCTCTGTTGCCCAGGCTGGAGTGCAGTGGCACGATCCTGGCTCACTACAACATCTGCCTCCCAGGTTCAAGTGATTCTCCTGCCTCAGCCTCCCAAGTGGCTGAGACTAAAGGTGTGCACCACCACACCTAGCTAATTTTTGTATTTGTAGCAGAAACAGGGTTATTGACCAGGCTGGTCTCAAACCCCTGACCTTGTAATCCGCTCGTCTTGGCCTCCCAAAGTGCTGGGGTTACAGGCATGAGCCACCCTGCTTAGCCTGTTTCATGATTTTAAAAAGCATTTGAAGAAAACTAGATCTAAATATGTTTATATTTTTAAAAAATCAGTTGACAGGGCAGAGTCACACTCAGGCAAAAGAAAACCCACACTCTAAATATATGCGTAGCATATAAAGTTGCCACATAGATGAATTAGTAGGTGCTATGATGTTCTGAAGCTTCTGTTGGGGCTCTTGCGGGAAGTGGTCACCCAAGCCCTCCGTGCTCCCCACAGCTTCCTGCCAGGCCCCAAAGGTTTCTGCACAGGGAGACAGTGACTCTGCAAGGCTGTGTCTTGGCTGCTGGCACAGAGATACAGGGCCGAGTCTTCTGGCTGCAGGGCGTGTACGTGAAGGTATAACTGAGAGCTGTCGGAACAGTCAGGTGAGAAGCGACTGGGCACACTTTCATTTACAGAGATTTCCTTATAGCTGCACACAAACATGAGCTCTGGTGGCGTCTTAGCTTTCTGCTTGTACCAGTACATAGCATTGTGCCCCAGGTGTTGTTCACATTTCAAAGACTTCTCATTTGTCATTCCCATGACCAGGTGTTTTGGTGTCTGGGTAACTCCAGTGTCCATGGGGACTGTGGGGGAAAAGGGACAACATTCAGGCAGAGCCCAGGAGGAGGGTTGTTGCTGCAGCCACAGGAAAAAGCTTGGAGTTCAAGGACAGGCAATTTGAACCCAACTCACCTGCTCCCAGGAGGCAGAGCAGTGCACAGCAGAGCAGCCTGCAGCCCATGCTAGCCTGGGGTCTGAAATGGGGCCTCTGACTGAGATCCTCTGGGCGAGGGGCTGGGCTCTGTTCTCCTTGGCCCTGGTTGGTGGTTTTTCCTGTGATGTCACTGCTCCTGACAGTTTCCCCAGGCCCAGGGGCTGGTTCTTCCTGATTGCTTTGCATCCTTTCTAAGTTCTGACAGAAGGTAGGTATGAATTGGCTGGGTTGGGATGAATGTCCTGGGCAGAAAGGGCAGAGCCACCTTTTATTTCCCAAGGATATTCCTCTGACAGGGTCCTTTGCTCTCAGCTCCTTCCCCATTATGTAGCTTCTCCCGCTATCTCTGTCCCCCTGCCTTTCAGGACCCCTCTCAGCAACAGACCACTCCCATCCAAGGAACTTCCTTCTCCCGTGTAGGATCACAGGAGACAGCGCCTTTCAGAACGCCCCTTCCCTCAACGTCTAAGCATGGTGGAGCCCTTTTTGCCCAGCTCTGTGGAGGGAGGATGACTGCATGACCACGGATGCAGTGTGGACCAGCGCCCACCATTCGAAACATTTTTTGGTAAAGCACAGATGACCATATATCTTGGGGTGGGGAATCTTTTGTCTCTATAATAAATGAATGATTGAATTGGTGAATGCAAAAAGACAGAAACAGAACAGCCAGGACCCACTCTCCTCTCTAAAGGCTAATGTAGAGCTGTGTTCTAGAGGCATCAGGCTCAGAGGCTGATGATTTAACACATTGGGAATAAGGAGGGTTCATAATATTAATTTATATAATTTGTAATATTAATATATAACAGATATTAATTTATACTATTATAAATTAAACTGTATTTAGAAATGTATGCCCCACGGAAAGGGCATGACTATGATGCTAGCCAGCCACCAGGCATTGGCAGGGAGCTGAGGCAGCAGGAAAGGGATGAGCCACCCTCTCTCCCTGAAGTGGAGGGCACGGGGCTTGGCTGGGTTAGAGTTAACATACACAGGATGCTGGAAAAGAACAACACAAGGTGTGTGGAGCAAGGGAAAGGGAAGTCAGCTTGAAGCTGATGTTGTGTGCTAGAGTGAGTACAGCCATGCTCTGGGTTGAGGTCTGGATGGCTCCCCATGGGCAAGATCCCTCCTGGCCCATCTCCATCCCTTCCCCAGGTCCCAGACTCAGAGGTTTCACCAGAGCACAGCTCCTCCCTGTGGCCAAAGCAGCACTTGGCCACTCACCAACCCAGTGTCAGCATCCAGGCTGGTTCCACACCCCACAAAACTGAGCAGCAGGGATGGATTTGAAAGGCCAGGAGGGAATGAAGAGGAAGGAGGTGATGGCAACAACACAGAGAGTCAGCAGCCAGAGCATCAGGCATGCACGCACCTAGGACATTCTAATTTTTTATTCAACAGAAATTGTCTATGTCTGAGTCTGTGTATCATGGCAACACCTTATCTCTACCAAAAATTACCAAAACTTAGCCAGATGTGGTGGTGCCTGCCTGTAGTCCCAGCTACTCAGGAAACTAAGGTGGGAGGATGGCTTGAGCCAGGGCAATCAAGGCTGTAGTGGGCTGTGATTGCATCACTGCACTCCAGACAGAGCAAGAAACTGCCCCCAACCCTGCCCCGTGAAGAACAAGTAAAGGCAAAGAAAATAAATTGTCTATGTCTGGACCCCTAGTAATAAGCATAACAGACAATATCCCAGCCCTCTGGAGCTTATGGACCAGTCTGACTTGTTCAACAATACTCCTTGAGCAATAGCTAGGAGCAAGCAAAAATCACCAACACTTTCATCCCCAGAATTCTATCTGAGTAGGGAAATTAAACATATTCAGACAATAGCTAGAGAATAAAAATGTGTCTCACAGGAAGTTTAAGAATGTAATCAGTATGTCAGTGTTCAATCACTTCATACATGTGATGCCATATTTCCTCATATATTAAATAAAGGGAGCTGAAATGAAATGGTCTCCAAAGCCCTGCCATTTCTAAAATGTCAGAAACCACATCAGGTCAGTTCTGTGGAGACTTTTCCAACTCGGAACCAGCTGTATGACTTCCTATGGGTCATTTCTACTTCACTGCATAAGCTCTTTATGCTTTGTGACCATTTAGTTATTGGCATGGCATCAATTTTCTTAAAATGTACTGTTATGCCAATATTGACTTTCCATTCTAGAACATTTGAAGACACAAATGAACACAAGCAAACACAAAAATTAAATGCTTCACACTTTCTAAGTGATTTTTACCATCTATTTATTTTTGTATTACATCAGTATTACCATTTTGTGATGATAATTGTAATTGTGTAAGAAAATCCTTTTTGTTTTTCTGGGCCAGGTCCTAAGTTGTGTATGCAGAGGGTGGGACTCCAGAAGGCCCAGCAGAGAACACAATCTAGAAGGCCTAAGACATGGCAGGGAAGGCTGAAGATACCCAAGGCCAGAAGGCATTGGCATTCAGACCCAGTGACAGTGGAGAGTCATGGTGGGTATGCTGTGATTCCCACTAAGACCCTGGAAAGGCCATGCACTAGAAATGATGATCACATGCTGGAGCTCCCTAAGAGGGAGGGCAAAGCTGTAATAAACCCTACATTCAATCTTCCCAGAAAAAAAAAAACCAACCCTATTTTTGGGAGGTAACATAATGCAGAGCCTCAAGCCTGTGTCATCCACAATGCTTGACATAAACCCTTTCTAATCTTTCATGTAGGATATTTAGAAGTCTCCTAATCATTCATGCCACCCAAAAATCTATCTCCTTCTGATCCACACTACGACCAGTGTTACTGTACCAAAGTATCAGTTTCATCATGTTGTTTCACTTGGGATAAGACCAATGGCTCATCACTGCTTAGAGATTTGTGTTCAAAGTCCTTTCCATGTCTCCCAATATCCCTGTCATCTCGCTGTTGCCTGCTCTGGAGGAGAATTCAAGATGACATTCATCACAATTGGGAGGGATTCTTGCTGGTCACCCTCCTTGAAGAGAAGGAGTGCAGAAGCCTGTCTCCATTGGCTTCTCCCCAGCACTTTCCAGTTTACCTATTGCCATGGAATTTCATGCTTCTCAAAATATTTTTCCATTAAACAGAGTACTTACTGAGCAACAGAACTTTCTTGATCTTAGGAATATTTCCCTTCCGCTCTCCTTTATGTTTGTGCTCATCGATCATTTTTAGCAACAGTGTGCTTTTCATTATAACGTTATATAAAATATGTACAAATGTGTGCAGTGCAGAAAGTCAAGAAATGGCTTCCTCCATCAATTAAGACCTTCAGCGCATGGGGCAGGCTCCTGTTTTGTTTGCGGAGCCCTAATACTTTAGTGGCTTTTTTGTGAAGCGCTGCTCTAGCTGATAAACAATTCTGAGACTTCGCTGTGCATAAAACGGAGGACTTCTCCACTGGGTGCACTGGCAGGCTGCACTACAGACTGAAACTCCATCAGAGGCCATCAGGGAATGGAGACTGGAGCCCTGGGTGCAGGGGCACACGCTGCCCCACAGCTTCCTGGCTGAGCCGGGAGGTTTGTGTACAGGGATGCAGTGACTCTGCAGGGCTGTGTCTTAACTGCTGGCACAGAAATACACAGCAGAGTCACCAAGCTCCAGGGACTTGATGTGAAGATTTAAATGAGTTTTGTCTGGAGACTCAGGCAAGAAGCGATTTGGAACTGTTTCATTTAAAATGGGCTCCTTATTATTGTAGATAAACATTATCTTCAGAAGTTTTTTAGAGTCCTGCTTATACCAATACATAGTATCATGGCCCAGATTTTGGTTACATTTAAGGGACTCCTCCTTTCCTATCTGTGTGACCAGGTATTTTGGAGTCTGGTAATACTGTCATCTACTGGTGAAACCCCTCCAAAGACAGACCCTGATGGTTCATTTGTGATTTACTAAATGCAGAACTTGTAGTAGGGATGGATGCAGCACGAAACAAAAGAAACATGACCACCATCCTTGGAACCTCAAGTATGCTTTATTTGTTTGCAGTCATTGAATGGCTCCTTAGTGCAAAGCATGAGTAAACAACATTCTCAGTCTCATGATGCTTATAATCCAATAGGAGCCAAAAGACATTCACACCTGTAGACTCAGAATATGAAATACATGTTACACGAGGCCAAAAATCGAGTAAGTATTTACATTTAAATACTTTTGATAAAGCATCCCATTTCCTCATCTGTGAAACAATGGGCAGAAATAAATAATTTTCAACACTCTGTCTAGCTCTAAAATTCTGTGAGCAAAACCAGGGACCCCCCTAGATGTGAGTTTTATTCAGTAAGCACCTCATTGCACTACACAGCTGATATGGGAAGCTTTTCAAAGAAGGAAAGAAAGGGAGGGAGGAAGATAGTGAAATGACAAGAGGCTACCTACAATGGTGATGATGATAACTATATAAAGATGTCACCATTCTTAAAGAGTAGGTCTTAAATAAATGTGTATCTCACTATCTTAGGCAAGAGTTTTTAACAAACCAGACGGACGGGCTCTGGGAGAGGCACTGGAATGAAACTGATAGAAACTTGCATCACATGAGGCGATGTCAGTTCCGGTTGTTGTTTGTTTCGTTTTTTATGGGAGACTTGGAAAGCAAAAGTGTTTTATTGTCCGTTGAGAATTGCTCAAAGGATAGAAAGGAGCAAATAAGTTGATGATTCACGTCTTATTTTCTGATAGGACCCACTGTGCTGGGGAAGGGGAAACAGCTATGGAAAGGAGAGAGTATAGAGGCTGGGCTCCCTGGGAAGACCCAGGCTTCCAACAGGAAGGCCAATGAGGGGAGAAAGCATAATAATTTTATCATGGAGACAACTGCATCCACAAAAAGGTGGCGAGTTGTAGGGGAGGGATCGAGGCAGAAGGCTGCAGAACACATAGAACTGAGTGATATCAGGATGCGTGTTTGAACATGGGTCACATTTCTGGCTGTCCAATATTTAAATCCCATCTTATATTTGGGAAATTCCCCAAAGTTTGGATCTTAGCAGGAAAGGCAAGTGTGTTGATATGTTTATAGGCAAAATCTTCCACCCCGTTCTAGAATCAAAATCTCCATGTCTGCCTCTTCCTTTTACACTTCTCATGAGAATACAACTATACCTGGCAGAGCTGTCTCCTTCCCCCAGCTCCCCAAGAACTCATGGGAAAGCTGTGCTGTGTCCTCTGATGGAATAGAATGGATGAGCAGTCTCTTGTGCCCAATTATGTCAGATTTAGTTTCCTGAGCAGAGTCTAATGAAGATTTCATTGCATCTGAT